CATTTAAGATTTTATACCAGTTAAAATGATAAATCTGGGACTCTTTAACATACCTGGCAGCCTATATAGAATTATTTCCTTGTATGTATAAATACTAAATAAATAAATAGCTGTCTCTAGCGAAAGTGGAAATAAGGGCAGTAAACACTGTGATTCTCCTTTTTTTTCAATTAGTTGTTCATGCCAACAAACACAGCACGTGTGCTGGTAACAAAACAAAGTATTTTTTCAAAGCACCATTTATTTGTATTAAGGTTGTCCAGAGTTGTACTCTGCAAGTGAGTTACTTCCTAGTTCCACGAGGATCATTCATCTCCCCTATAAAGTTACACTTGCACAGACCATCCATCTATGTCTTCCTTGGTTTGCCACACTATCTTCTCCCTTAGCTCTATCAGGTTGGTGTGACCTTCATCTCCAGCTGCTGCCAGTGCACTGACCCTTCCTGCATCTGTCACCCACCAGTCCTGGCGGGGGCTCAGTACTTCATAATTAATCGCTCAGTGTACATGCACAAAATAAAAAATAAAAAAAAGCAGAGGACCAACACTCGATGGCAACTACCAAATTAACATAAACCAGCTGGATGTCATATTAACTGTAAAGCAGAGGTGATAATTAAAAATTATCTTGGCAGGAGTAAATTGGTCAGTTTGAGGATTAACTGTGAAATGACTCACACAGATAAAAATGAATTGCACCCTCTGGTTCCCTAGCTCGGATTAAATGGCACTCAACATAGAGCAACTCTCAGTCAAGAACAAAAAGTGCAGTGAAAATACATTACAGGTGGAATAAGTGGCTCTACACACAGTTTCCATTATTCCTCTACGACTGTAAGCCTAAGTCCATTTCAAACCCAAATCTCTGAGAAAGATATATCAGCAAGCTGCCAAATCCTGCACAGGCACCCTCAATTTGCACAGAAATGAAGCGGCGACTCATCTTCGATATGTTAAAGTCTGAGATATCTGAGAGTCCTCTTTTCATCATAAAGCAAAGGAGCTGGACTAAACATCACCCGTCACATTACAGTGATTGAAGCAGGCATGACCAACTTCCCTCTCAAGTGTTTAAATGGACAGCATTTTGATAGCAATACGTGCCAGACTCAATTACCAAAGCGAAAAATAAATTAGCTTCCTGCTCTCTCTTCTCCTGCCAATACAAGCCTTGAGAAGAAAGCATCTGAGTAAGATTTCCCAGGGTAGGAATCAAGGTGACCCCCTCACTCTCATCGCTGCTGATAAGTTTTCAGATACCTGCTTCTTTGGTGTCAGGCTGAGATGCATGACTGGGTGTGAACTTTTGCCAGTGGTCTGAGTAGGTGGGCTGGATGACATGCCTCCAGTGTGCAGGTAGCATCAAAAGCCTCTGCGATACTGTGTCTCTGTCAGCCTGTCAGTTCAGCTGCCATGGCGAAGTGGGTGGATGGGGGGGTGGGGGGGGGGGGGGGTGGCTGAGGCAGATGTCGGTTGTGTATCCATCACTGGCGTTCAGTCCTCCGCTATGCAACCCCAAGGCTGCTGACAGCCAACACCACTGTTGTTCCCAAAAATGCCTTTTGAGCAGCAATGGAGATCATGTTTTCACTTTTTTTTTTTCTTTTTTTTTTCAAACAGCTGCCTATATCGCATCAACAGTCTACCTCTCTACTTTTTTTTTTTTTTTTTAATATTTAGGACTTCTTAGTTCTCCTGCTAGAACAGCCCTGCCCACAAAACTTCTCAATCGAGCCAATTAAGGCAGCCCCCCCCCCCCCCCGAATCATTTATCTCTTTCAGGAGAGTGAGCATGTTTACAATATTCATCATGTTCCTCTTACTCATTCTCCGAGCGCCGAGAGCGTCGAGAAAGAGTCGCAATGGTTAAAGGTAAAGGTGAGAGCATAAGAAAAGCAGTGTGGATAGCAGCAGCATGAGTCGGCAGCGGCGTGGGGAAGAAAGTAAGCCGCGATGGGGTTGAGCGCATGATGCGGTGGGTCATGGACATGGCATGAAAGACAGTGTGGGTTAAGAAAGCGTCATGGTTGTTTTAGAGGTAAAGGTATGCCCCGCTGAGCCGAACCTGACCATGATGTCTGGGGCTGAAGTGCTTAAACCCTGGGTTTCAGTGAAGTGAAAGCTGAATGAGGGAGTGGGTTGGTGCCAAGCTACTATCATCTGCCACAAAGCCCATCTCATATCCTGCTGCTGGGGGAGTTAGCACGAGAATTAGCATGATCACACCCTGTAGGTCTGTCAGACATCAGCCCTGTTATTATCTCTGATCTCAAGCGCAAAAGTACAAGGAGGGGGAAAAAAAAAAAAGTGTTGAGTAGCACGGCTGGTGAAGGTTTGGTGTGTGAAATACAAACAACACCATACTGGAGCAAGAGGGCGGGGTAAAGAAAGGAAACCTTTTGAGGTGATAGTTTAGGACAAGGCCATGAAGTCCAAGGGCATGGGTGGCAGCTGTAAAACCCAACGGAGATAAGATCAGAAATCCACCTCAGCATGACGTCCCTTCATCATAGGATAATCCTCAGACATGAAAAGACGAGCCTATCTGCAATCTGAAGGAAATCTCTATTCCCCAGATTCTTCGGCTGTCTAATACCAAACTGACACGCCCTTCACGCATCTGCCCACATTTCCCTGATGCCTATGTGTACCTTAGATAAGCAAGAGGAACAAGGTAATGCATATGGCTCTTTCTCATGTGCACCACACCTGTTTTATGAGCAGCAAGTTTACAAAGTCCACTCTGAACAGCGGAAATGTTGGTCACAGAGTACGTAACAGTCACCGTTTTATAATGAAAGTAGGTCTAACAGACAGCAGTGTAATAATGGTTTAGATTGCATCTTGTTTTTAGTAGGGAAAGAGAAAAAAAAGGAAATGAAGTTGTCATTTGAAATGAGCCAGTTGCAACGAACCAGTGGCATACACACAGTTCATGTATCAGTTAGTTCAGTGCTGTTTTTCTGTTTGCAGGCTGCAGACAGGAGGCATGGGATTGCTTGTTGCTTACAAGGATTATGGTTTTATTTTCAAAATGAAAATGACAGAAGTCAGTAATCCAATGCAAAGGAAACAAAAGAGACTAGGGGATGGGTTCAAATTCATTTGACCTCAAAAATACTGCAACACTCTCTGAAATGTGGTGCAAGCTTCCAGGAGATGGCTTGGTTTAAACTATCTGAGAAAACTGTGTAACACTAAAAAGGACAGGATGAACTCTGGCTTACCCAAAACATGCAGGAGCTTAACAGCTGAGTGCTCACTGGCCAACAATTCACTACCTCAGTTTCTCAGTTGGTCAGAGGCTATTTTACTGGATCCAAAAATACTTAGAGTGGATCTCACCACAAAGTTTCATTTCCAGAGCCAACGGCCTATTACCAAAAAAAAAAGAAAAAAAGAAGAAGAAAAAAAAAGGGGGACTCATGGAAATGCCTGCTTTGTTTGTTATTTTCTCTGCTCCCTTGTATTACAGGGTATCAGCCTGCATTCGGCTTTTTGGGATTGTTTTGCAGAATTTTCAAACACTAACATGACCTGAATGAGAAATGTCTCCTATTCGCTTGCCCTGAAAAGAGCATCTATGATGAAGAAGTGTGGTACGTTTGTCTTTTTCACCCTTGCGGGGGAACAGGAGAAAACATTTATCACCACTCTCCTGCGCGCAGATAAGGTGTCTCTATTTATTCAGAGTGGAAGAGATAAACCCTGAATGAAGCATTGTGGGGCAGAGAGAGAGTCAGAGAGAGGGAGAGGGAGAGAGACAGAGAGAGGGAGAGAGACAGAGAGAGAGAGATGGTGGAAAGAGGGAAAGGACAAGGAAGCAGCTTGGTTTTCAATTGCCTGTGTGTGTCCATGTGAGCAGATGGCATCTATTGGAAAACCATCCCTGCTCAGTCAGGAGACTGGAGGCTGACCCCATGCTCTAACCCCCTTCCAGCCACCAATACTCACACCAGCAGTCGCCTTTCCTGCCTCCACGTGCCCCCTGCCCGCACTAATCCATTCCCACTATGAGACTGTTTGTATAACGTTATTTAATGGGAATAATCCCCAGGAGACGGCGCATCCTAAGTACGGTAGGTCTGCGCACAAGGGGGGCAGAAGATGGCAGGGGCTGCAAATAAAAGGACGATTTAGAAACACAACAAGGCAATACAGTGGTCTGTTGAGGGCCGCGCCAGGGACTGAGAGATACAGAACTGCACAGGAGATTCAACAGGGACATGAATAGTGCTTCTGTCTCCTTGTCCTCCACAAGAGAGACAAGACAGAGAGGGGGGGGGGGGGTTGAGGAAGAAGGGAAAAGGAAAAACAAACAGAAGGCAATGCTCACTACTACCTCTGTCCTCTCAGCTGTTGATGTACAGACTACTGTCCAGAGGTGAGGAACACAGTTCACATGCCCATTTCTCACTGAAATTGCCTGTGTAACGGGACAGACGGCTCCTTGTGAGGTGACTGGGCAGATGCTGTGGCTGCAATGCTCCTGAGATGAAATGCATGGTTTAGAGAAGAGCATGTCTACACCCCCCCTCCAACACACAGCTGTTGAGTTTAACAGTACAGCAAGTTTGCACCCCGGCAGGCATGACTTACAACTACGAAGCGTTTCAATGACACATTTCATCATTTCACTACAATAGCGCCGCTGTACGTTTTGTTTTAACTGTTTTAAAAAAAACTACAGTGTTTCCAAATAATAATGTCTTGCGTATTATGATGCTTCCACGCGTCTTTGTTTGCAGCGTATTTCCAGGAAATACAACACTTTCGGAGCAGCAAAATAAGAGCGATTAATAAAAACAATAACACGCAGAGAACAGCAGCGTCCCTGGATGAGGCTTCCGCTTCCACGCCGTATCAATAAGGCGTAGAATAGGCTATAAAAACTTAGTGCTCACATTCAAAATAATTACAAGTATTACTGTTAAACGCTGAAGTAAATAGTCCCATTCCCACTTTGACGGGATGCACCAGCTTCACCCCGAAACTCACCTTGGAGGAAAAGGAGCGAAGAGAGTAGTTGCACAAACGCGAACAGCCCAGATAGTGAAGAACAGCTCCTGATGAAATTACATAGCATATATATATATATGTATATATATGTATATATATAAAAAAAGAAATAAGTCCGAGAGCAAGTTCACATTGTACTCTGGTCACACGTCCTGTGAGGGGTTTCCAAAAGGCACTACTCCGTAGAAAAAACGGGCTACTTGGGTTGACCGAATTGTCAATTCCTGTTGAAAGGCGACACAAGCAAGTCCTCCACAAAAGAGTCTCTTCTCAGGATATCGGGGACTTTCTCCACGCCCAGGTGCCGAGTCACATGGTAATTTCCAGGTGTGTGTACGTGTGTGTGTGTGTGTGTGTGCGTGTGTGTGCGTGTGTATGTGTGTGCGTGTGTGGGTGTGTCTCCAGGAGCCGCGGCTCAGTTGGCAGGGACACACCTGTGGGATCCGATCACGCGTTCGCCTTCACTGTCATCGCGTTTGGAAATCGGGAGGTTGTACAGAGGGAGGAGAGAAAAAGGGAGAGAGGCAGGGAAGGGAGGGAGGGAGAGCGAAGCGCGCACTGAAGGAGAACCGACGCGGCCGTGTACAGAGAGGAATTATTCCCCTCCCACTCCGCTCTCACCGCCGGCAAAGCCTGTGTGTGTAGAGACAACAAGCGGCAAGTAGTAGGCTAGAGGGGGGGGGGGGGGGGGGGGGGGGGGGGGGGGGGGGGGGGCAAGTTGTGTCGTCTGCTCGCCGACGCACCGAAATATTTCCGCGGGCGGTGTGAACGGTGTGGCAGCAGCCCCGAGCTGTGGTTCTCAAAGTGTGGTCCGGATCCAACAGGAGACTTTAGGGGCGGTTCCAGGTCATTCCAGGCAAAACCAGGAATATTTACAATGGTTTCATGAACGTTCCCGCCCCAGCCAAAGTAGACAATATAGCCTACACAGTTACATAATGTTGTCAAGACATACCATAACAGAAAGGATGTTTTCCCAATGAAACATAAGGAGACAGTTCCATGAAATAACTCGTCTGTTAACTTGTTGATCCATGACAAGTTTGCGCAGCCCGAGGGAAAGCTTAAAAGGTCAGTTCACCCAAATCACAAAACTAAAAACATTTTCCAACTCATCCTGTGGTGCTGGTGGAGTTGGGGGTGAGGTACAGATAGTTTCGGTGTTATTTGCAGACAGTTAAAAAAAAAATAGTGTAAGCGAGGCTAGACTGCTGAGTGGAGACACCAGAATAACCCAGTAAGACTTCCCCCACCACTTTCTGACTTGTCATTGTATCAAAGGTGTTAGTAATTACATTAACAATGGCTCTTTTCTATTAAAGTGTCCTCCAAGTCAGGACAGTGTGGCAATGAGCCAACATCCATTATGCGAGGACCAAGAAACTAAAGGAATAAATGGAATTCAGTCATTATAACCTTTCTTATTTACATCAGCTTTATCATGTCAAAATGTTCTCTGTGAAAAAGACATACAGAGGCAGGCACAGGGCTGTAGTTTTTGCTCTACATATGCAGGTTTAAAGATAGTGTGTTAACTCTAAATGTATATCAGGATTTGCCCACATTATGAGGTTTATTTCATGTCTAGCTTGTGTGTAATTGTAGAATGTGAATTCCTCCTCAGGTCTGCAGCCCCACCTCCCCTCAAACAATACAGAGGACATGACCTCACCGTCCAAGCAGCTACAGCCACTCCGTTGGAGGCGCTCACAACAACTAAAAACATGGCATTTGAAAACAGCTCAGAGCACGTGTCCATCCAGAAACCATCCCACGTTTACTCAGGATAATCTACAGCCATCACTGTGGAAAGCTTTTATCATATATTGCCTTTGAAAGGATAAATGGTATTCACAGTGGAAACTGTTGGCAGGTTTGTCTGTCAGTTATCCAGACAAAGACACACTGCTGTTGAGTTTTTTTTTTTTTTAAATGTCACGTCTTGATCCTTTGAGCATCACCAACAAGTTTCCATTCACATCCACTGTATTGTGGTGGCAGCAGAAGCTTTAGCAGCTTTTATAGTTAAACAAAAAAGAAAACCAAAACTTAAAACTGCATCACAATTCATTTTGTCTCGGGTGTGCTAACTTTTTATTATGATTATATAAACTAATAGCATTATCACTGTGGTCTTGTCTCTATGTTGCATTGTTTGTGCCATTATGATGATGCAGTGCAATGTAAATTATGTTGTACCGGTCTCTTCCTGCATCTTTAACATTCAGGTTTCATTTTAAATTGTGTAATTTATCTAAAAGCCCACCAATAACTGTAAATGAGCTGTCACTATAAGCTCTACGTGCAACACATTTGCTGTATTTTAAGTGACTGAATGTAATTGCGCTTTCCCTGTCAATTAAACCACAAAATAAAACATAAATAAACCATCGGTATTTCATGGAAATGAACACAGATTAGTGTGAAAAGGGAATTTAGGGATATTGATTGGTTTAAAAATATTTTCAAAAGCAACCACCCCTCAGTTATTTATATTTCACTGAGCCCCATTTGACTATGTCCTTACAAGAACTGTATTAGAAGTCATTATAACACAAATTATTGGTGCGCTCGCTGTACCTTGGCTGCTGAATCGTTAATCACAAGAAGTATAATTTTGCAGCTCTTAAATCTAGTTAAGTGTAATCATCTTTTATTGTCATGTGAATATGTAACAACCTTTGAATCAAGCCATATGCTTTAGGTTTTTGTTTAGTAGGAAATTTGCAGTTTTTTTGACACATTCATGTAGAGAGAGGCTAAAAGTTTCTTTGATTTCAAATATGGGCCATATGTGTGTAAGTACTACTCCAGCTTGCTTCTTTCTATCCCCATCCAAGAGGTTATATGAATAGCTTATTTTTGCCTTAGAGCCTAATATCAGATAACGCTGCAATTTGGCAGACTGAGTTTTGTGACTCCGAGTCATGCCTTCTTGTGTGGCTGGGTGTCAGTTTTGTTAGTGATTTATGGGCATGCAAATGAGGCTGTCTGTATGGGGAGATGTGCTGCCTTTGCCCAGTGGGCCCTAGAGCGGAGACTGGAGACTGTGTGGGTGTGAGTCAGTCCCTAACTGCTGACACAGGCACAGCGCTGGCAGAGATTCACAGAGCAAGATGGGGAGATGGCCTTCACAGGTCCTCACATTGACTGATGAGATCAAGGAGAAAGTAGGCCAAGCCAAACAAGTGTCAGGCAAACAGACACCCTGAGATAGAGTGAGAGAGACAAACACTCCCCAATCACAAATAGAGCTGGGGGAGTGGAAAGTGGCGGCGTAGAGCCAGGTTGTTTTGGGTCTGAGTTCAATATGTCCAAACCTGTTTGTCTAAAGAGTAATGAGGCTGCTGAGTCTTGGAACATGCTAGCCCAGGGGATGTCAGTAGCCAGGAAAGGCCAAGTCAAGCTCTCTAAATTCACTAAAGTGGAATAGAAGTTCACTTTGTCCTACTAGATAGCCTGAGTGTGATGACATTTTGATCAATGCGCTTATACCTTCCCGCAGCTTGCCTTTATGTTGCTTGAATAGTGATGATCTGTTATCATGCTGGTGTCAAACAGTACCATTTTTCATATAGTGTCCCTCAGCTGGTCCAGGCTGTAAAATGTTTGACTATCAACATATTACACAACCTAATTTATGATACAGCATTCCAGTTGTCCATAATGATGTAGTGGCCAAATCAGATTCAAGGTTCATAGTTCAGAGTCTGTCTGCCATGTGGTTAGACTGCCCTCTATAGGTGGTGGCTTATATTGTTTCATTTAATATCAAACTCATTAACACAGGAACTATTTAGCTGCATATATATATATATATGTAATAGATTGTTTATAACACACGATAACGTGGCTGTATGCAGCTGTAAGGACATGTCTATGTGTTTATTAATATACAGTGTTGTCAGCAATTAGAACTTCTCCTATGATGACATATATTAATACAGTTGTGTTTTACAGTATTGCCATTCATCATCTGTTTATATACCGGCCTCCAGGGGGAGTTATAGTTGTCTGTTGTTATAACAATTACTGAACACTTACAAATGCTTATAAATACAATATAGTGTTATTCAATATTTATATACTGCTTATAAATGCTAAACATGGGGACTTAATGTAAAGTTTTGCCAACAGAATTAACTGTTAGTTATACATTTTATTCACACCTTCATTGTGTGTACACTGTGTGTACCGTAAAGACAACAACAGTACAATTCACAAATAGGTAAATCAACAGCTCTCTGATTTGATTTCCAGACATTAAGACTAGTATGTATTGCAGAATACTGTATTGTATTGCATTATATTGTCCTAATGCTGTGTAACACCCTGTGTAGCTCTTGCTATGTGACTCTTTCCCCAGACATTCATGTCACATTTAGCTGATATCTTTTCATATGGTCACATATAACAGGTACTGTACAATGCAATACCTGTTATATGAGCTGTACATAAGGCATTGAGGCATGACTTGTTTCTGAATTGATTTATATGATTAAGTAAACAGTTTGCATTTTCACAGATGTGGTTTTGAATAAATTATAAGCATATAGTCCCATATAATAAAGGATTTTATGTAAGATAAGTAAATGGTTATCGAGGGCAGACAACATTAGCAACTTAATTAGGACACTGAGGCATATCTGAGTATAATCAGTAAGTCATCACCAATGCTATTACTGCAAAAGATGACTTTTACAGATATTACATATAAGAGGTAAGGTAGGGTTAAAGTTTAGGAGGTATTTTGGTAATTTTCACTAACTTTTGGTTTATGCAGACTTTATGCAGTAATTCTTCACTAAGAAACATAGGACTTTCAGAGATGTGTGCTGTAAATAACAGACATAGGACATCATCACAGCATCACTGCATTCATTTTAGTACAGGTGTCGACACTGGGAATATAAATGCCATGTTAGTCTCCTGCTCAATGCATCTAATCACACATTCAGTGAAGGGAAATGTTACATTACTCTGAACATTCTCAGTGTAGGTGGAGGCTGCCAGATAAACTGTAGTAGCAAATCTAAAGATGCAGGGATAATATAAGGAGTAGTTTGCAGACACAGGAAACTATCGTGGGCGTGAATGGTAAAGATGTGAAGAAAAACTCGACGGTGAGGTTATGTAGAGCGTTGATTTGAATGTCTTCCTGACCTACCTAAGTGTGCCTCCAGCTGTCAATATGACTTATACGTAATTACAGAGGAAGGGAGGGATGTGTGAACAACTGAGCTATGGCTACTGTATCCAGAGCTCAGATCCTCCACAAAGGCATGTGAGACAAGGCGACATCAGGTTTGGCATAAAACGGACAGACAGGCTTATGGTGCCATTCTGACTCAGTCTGGGAATAACCACAAGCTGGGAATAGCAGGGTGGCAGCAGTGTGTGGGTTGGTGTGAACAGTCTGCAAGCATGTGTGTGTGTGTGTGCGTGTG